ATGATAAATTGGATGAATTTGAAAGAAAAATGTTGGAGGCAGAAAGTGTAATGTGTTTCAATGGAAACCATAAAATCTCCTTTAGAGTCTTCATTTCAGACTCATAAGTGGATTTAGAGCAAGACAGACTATGTAATGGAGAAAAATAACTAAAAATTGCCTAGGTCTGATCACAGATACTTTGATATAATGACCCTCAAATCATTAGCCCTTTGACCTTTTATTCTGAATAGAAAATGTTCTGAGAAATGTCTTTTATGTACTAGTTGGCACTTTCTGTAAGAGACCTGAATTTACTTTTTCATAGATACATATGAAACATAAGTGGTGTTCTGAAATAACTATAGAAGTTTGGCTCATACTCCAGCACTATTTATCATAAAGGATTAAAAAAGGTTAAGATAGCACACATTTTTAGGCTTCTAATTTCAGTCTTGAATGTCATATCTTTGCAGTATAAATCGGAATGTACCTAACTTCTAATACTAAAAAGATTATTGTTCTTAAAAGATAAAATAGATATATCCATGAAATGTACTATTACTTTAAAATCTTTTACTTGCAGTGAAATATCACTTTTATTAACTTCCATTAGTTATACCAGGAAGGGGGATTTCATTGTTATATTTCCACAAATGTATCTAATAGATTCCAAGCAATCTTACCCCCTCTATCTAGTCCTCTTTTTTATCTGCTTCTCAAAACAATTCAACAGGTCTTATTATTCTATTTTCACTGTTGGAAAAAAAATCTACTAGTAGCAAATTCAGCTTACTTCATCATCCTTGTTAGCTCAATTCCTTCCTGCTATTACACCAAACACAGTTTTTCTGTTTTTTTAATTTTTATTTTTTAGTTTTTCTTTACCCTCCCTTCACTCTTACTGATCAGCAATTCTCACTGAGATTCTTGATTCTGTTTTTATATACTTATAATGGGCATATCATTTTTCTAAAATTTGTGTAGGTAATGTAAAAATTAGGAGTTATAGTATTAGCTTAAATTAAAAGAAATGTCTTATCATTTGTTATCAGCTAATTATTAAAACAGGTAGTTGGTGTCCTATTTTAACAAACCTCTAAGATGTAACTTCTAATTCAGCTAGCTGATTTATTCAAGAATGCATTAAATAATATTTTATTTTTACTTACATTTACAAGTCACAACTAGGTATGAGGAGCTTTAGTTTTAATTCATATTCTTGCAGTAATTCCACTAAAAATGTAATATTCATTTACAATAATAAAATACTACAATGTTACAGTTTTTCTTTTGTGCCGTTTTGTTTTTAGACTTTGTATACTTAGATCTTGTATAAAAGTATGCATACAGGTGAGTGCTGGTGATTCACTTATATAATCCTGAGTATTCAGGAGTCTGATCTGAAAATTGAGGTTTGAATGCAGGGTGAGGAGTAAACTATGAAAGATTCATTTCTCCAATTAACCAACAAAAAGCTGGAAATGGAGACATGGTGCATGTGGTAAAAATATTGGCCATTAAAGAAAGGCTGAAAAGAACCAAGTGGGAGGATAAGACTGATTTCATGCAACAAGTAATAACTTAAATTTAGTGAAAAGTAAATCTATGTATAATAAATTACTCTACAAATTGCAAAATCTGTTTGATGTTGGAAGACAAAAGTTACAGTATCTGGGTTCTGAGCTAATCATTCTGTAAGAAGAAAAGGAAAGTACTTGTCAACTAGAGCTCCAGAAAGAACGTGCATAGATTATTTTCTAGGAGGAATTGATCTTATCTGTTTAATACTTTTAGCAGGACAGTCCCTGGCTAAAGGATTGCTTATGTTTAATAAATCCAATATTTAAGAGATATCATCTCTGAAAAATGTTATATAAGATAAACAACTCTGAAAATATAAAATAGAAATATTTCATAATATAAACAGTTGCTTTTCTGTATATTAAGCACATAAACCTCACCAGATACTTTGTTTTTCTGGACAACAGTGAATGTACTTCAAAGGAAGAAACCAGCAGAGCCAAGTCCTCTACTTCTTTAGTCTCTTACTGTGCATTTGATAGTGTTCATAAAACTTGGTATTAAGGTAAGATTTCTAATTTCTGTTTCTACTTTGATAATTCAATGAGGTTAAATTGGTCTATAGAAAAGAGATAATCAGTAACATAAATATTATGGATGATATGAGTCAGAAGATGGATAATATAATTATATATTATTTTCCTTAAACATCAACAGACTATATATTACTGTTATGCATGGTTTGCTCATCTATATCATATTCATCCACAAAAATACCAGTATACAAGTATAATGTTTTCAAGTTGGAATTATGGTAATATATGATATAAATATCACCCAGATGAATTTAACACCGTTATAACCATTGAGCACCTTGTACTTTTTAGGTCAATTTTATACAATGCCTACTGTCTATGAGTTGTTCAAGATCTGGAGATTTAAAAGCAAACAAGATATGTAACTGGTGTTATGCAAAATGTTACTCGAGGTTAATTTTGAGGGATATTATGTGATCCTGTTTATCAAATAATTTGGTTTATTTGGCAGGACTTCAAAGGCCCATGGAACCTTTAAAAATCTAAATAATGATGCTAAGTAAAATGAACCCCAAGATAGGGACACAAGAGGTTTTCTCTTTCTTGCTGTTGTTTTAAATGTATTTATAATGAACTATGTGAATTTTTGTATCTTTTACATGTTCTTCCCCGATGTTAAAACTCCTATTGTCACTGTATTTAATTCCAGTGCCCTGCATCTTGTTTATACATTTTTCTAATTTGGGGAGGGGAAGGGAAATAACAAAATGCTGAAATAAGGATACAGGTTGACCCATTGTAACAATGAAATGTACAAGACACTATGTTGATAACGAATACAACTTTGGGGTAGGGAGGGAGGAGTTGGGGAGGCAGGGAGGAAAAGGATGGTAGGGGAAAAACAAAGGAGGAGGTAACAATGATTGATAGGAAATGTCCTCATTACCTTACTCATGTAACTGTAACCCCTCTGATACAGTATCATTACAATAAAAATATATACTAAAAAATCTAAATAAAATTGGTTGTATTTACCTGCACAATTTTAGAAATCGGGAGAGGTTTGTGTTTTTTATCATACTTGGAATATTTTTTTTAGATTTGCATTTGTGAACAAGGAAGGAAATCTGAAGACTTGGTGCTTCAAGAGGAAAAGTGTCTAGAGAACAGGTACTATGAGGGAAGCTCCATATCGTGAGGCCATAATTGCTCACATCCATCATCTGATAAATGCCCTTCTCTCACCTACTTGGAACTAGCTGCCTATTTTCAGACTATTCCATTTTGGAAAGTGTTGGCTCATAGCCATGCACTCAAATTCTGTTTACCTTATAAGAGAACAATAGTTGCCAGACCAACAATATCTACTAGACTGTTTCTCTGTTTTACTCTTTTTAATTAGTTTACTTCATGGTTATTTATAGAGGTGATATACAGAGAGATTAAATGACATATTTAGCCATCTGCATATTGTAAGCAATTTTTTTGGGGGGGGTCCAGTCATGGGGCCTGAACTCTGGGCCTGGGCACTGTCCCTCAGCTCTTCAGCTCAAGGCTAGTGCTCTACAACTTGAGCCACAGCGCCACTTCCGGCTTTTTTCTTTTTGCTTATGTGGTGCTGAGGAATCGAACCCAGAGCTTCAAGCATGCAAGGCAAGCGATCTATCACTGAGCCACCTTCCCAGCCCCCCATCTGCATATTGTAAGCTTAATGGTATCCAAGGTTAATTTGGGCTACAAAAGTTATATTACACAAATATTCTTATGCTAGTGTTCTTTTATATTTTGCATATAATCAATTTAAAAATTATAAATACAGTAAAAAATAAAGAAAATGCTTTTGCATCATAATTTAGGATTTTATCATTCAAAAGATCAATTTGTTTCTGGTTCTTGCAATTAATATGCCTATAGATTCTAGAACTCCATAAAATAGAACTTCATAAATATTGGCAAGATTTTTAAAATTAGTGCATCCAACCCAGTGCTGTGCCTCACACTTATAATCCTAGTTACTCAGGAGTCAGAAATCTGAGGATTGCAGTTCAAAGCCAGCTTTGATAGAAAAGTCTTAGTGAGACTCATCTCCAATAAACTACTTAAAAAAAAAAAGCCAGAAGTGGCACTGTGGTTCAAGTTAGGGCTCTAACCTTGAGCACAAAGAAGCTCAGGGACAGCTCCCAGGCCCTGAGTTCAAGCCCCATGACTGGAGAAAAAAAAAATTAATGCTTCCATTCACACTTAACCTTCTCCAAAAGGTTTCCTATCTTTTTCATTATTGAATTTGCTCTTATAAAGGTCACCATTGGCTTTCACATTCCAGCTTCAATAAATACTATCTTCTTTTCATATTTCAAAACTGTATAACTGGTATTTGACATGGACAAAAATTAAATTACTTTAATCAAAACACTTTTTAAAGGCAGATTACATTATAAATAATAAAATTAAAAAGAAAATGTTCTCCTTTCCTTAGACTTACCTGACTAGCTGGCAATATAGTATGGCTATTGGCAAATTCACCATATATATTATAAAGAGTTGAAGATTGTAATATGACTTTCATATTAAAAATATGATTAATTTAATGCTTCATATATTTCTGGAAATATGGATAAAGTTGAAGCCATACATAACAAAATTTTCTGGTTAGTAAAAGCCTTGCTAACATCAGTTTCCTCTAATTCCTGACTTTTGCCTCAATTAGAATTCTTGATATTCATAAGACAATCTCAACTTACATATCTACAAAATACTGCATAAGCTCTACACTTATTATCTCAAGTTTCAAAATATAGTTCATAAAATCTTGTACTTACAGCTCAAAATCAATATGCCCATGCTAACTTGAAACCCCCTTGTAGAACTATTTGAAGATTATTTATAAAATACAAAGAAACAAAATCAACACAACCAATCTTTCTAATTTATCTCATATAAATTAAAATGTATGTTACTAACCTTTTTGAACAAAATATCTTGACTGTTTTAATTTCTTGTCAATATCTTTTTGTTTTAATTCATATAAAAGAGGAAAAGTATGTTTTCTCTGTTCACTATAGTATTTTAAATCAATAGAAGAATCAATACTCTGTGAAAATAAAAGCAATGATACAATTTCATGTGTTTTAGACTTCTCAAAAACTTTTCACATGCTTGATACAGAATTATGATATATTTTAATTTTAAAACTCCCTAAAATAAAAACTATTAATTATATACCTTGGAAAATTCTCCAGAAGTGATGGAAGGAAACTGTTGACTTGTAGGTTGGTGTTATAAGACACAAGGTGGTGTTTACCAAAAGTCTGAAGGTATGTTTAGTATAAAGAAAGAGAGAGAAATACTGCTTCACAAGCACTAACAGGTTATAACACAGACAGAACAAAAGAAGGACCATAGTGTAAGAGGAAAGGGAAGCAGAAATGGAACCAGAATAGTTATAAGTCCATGGAGTATAAATGGGTCAGGTTTATGTGGGAGAAAAAACAAGTACAATATTGAAGTGGAGCTTCATGTGGAATAGGGGCAATGTCAAATGTCTGTATAATGTCTGTATCAGTGATGTTTCAATTATACTGTTATCTCCTTTTTTATTTCACAGTTCATCCAAGACCATCAGAAGTGTTTCCAGGTCATCAAGGACTCAGGATCATCATCTCTATCCATAAGGCTTCTATATTAAACATTTTATCATGAGTAAAGACAATTTCTATAGCTTCAAATACCATGTTTACACTTCAATTAGGACGATGGAAGAAAGAAAGAAAATCACAAAAAGGACATGTCATGTCTTAAGGAGGCTGCCTAGAAGATCTTTTAACTTCTGCTAAGATCTCTTTGGCCATCCATAGTTATTTAAGTAACTCCTTAGTTACTGAAAGGAGTGGGTGAATCTTTGTTGTTTTTTTTAAATAATATATGTGGTTACGTTGTTTTTAAACTTAATTTTATTGTCAAGGTTATGTACAAAGTTACACAATAAGGTAATAAGTAAATTTCTCCTTGAACCCCCCCCTCTCGATTTTTCTCCCATTTTCTCTCCTCCCAGCACCTCCTCAAGTTGTAAAGTTCATTTCCAACGTAGTGTCTTGTGAGTATCTCTGTTGCATTGGTTCACCATTTTGTCCTTTGTTTCCCTTCCCTTCTCCAAATCAGATAAATATATATACAAGACACAGGTACCAAAATAAAAATATGACAATAGGGAATAAACCAAAGGAAAAAATGAAAAAAGAAAGAATATCACACAGTACATTAGGAACAATTGCAACAAAGAAAAACCTATTGTTTCCGTACCTTGGAGTTCGTTTCAATTAGTATCATTTTATATGCTCCTATGTACATAGCTATTGAGCTATTGTGATCCTCTGCTAGGACTATTCTAGACATACTAATTATCAGAAATGAGAGAAACCCTGGGGCTTTGGGTCTGGCTACTTCACTTAATATGATTTTTCCAAGTCTTCCCATTTCTTTCAATTGAGTAATGTCATTCTTTCTCATAGAAGCATACTATATGAATGGGCACATGACTTACTCAAGTTTTCTTTATAGTTTAAGAAATACATATGTACATGTGTTCTAGTTCCCTATATTTGCAAGTTTTTTCCAAAGCCCTATATCACATGATGAAAATATATTTAATACCTAAATTTTCTAATTTTTAGATTCTAATATGATATCCCCAACTTAGTGATGAAAAACCATTTGTCTCTAACAGTGGTATGATGTTTTTGTCTCATAGTGGTATGATGTTTTACTGTTCAGTAGAAGCACTATTTTTTTTGCTCCTGGAATGAATCTAATTTTATTCTTCAGTGAAAAAAGAAATTCTTTCATTCACCAACTCATGTAAGTAAATTCTTTTCAACTTTATTTGACAAAAATCACTATTTGTCTTAGAAATATAAATAAGCTGAGTGTGTTTAGTTCATATATTCTCTTTATTTAGAATTTTTAAAAGATTATCAAGAATAGTTTATCATTTCAAAGAATGTTAACAAAATATGACATCATTTTAAGTACTGATGCTTTTATTTTCACTTAAATCCATTCCTGTTGAATAAATGTGGCAGGGTATATTAAATCCGCAACAGTTAACTACAGATGCCTTTTCAAACTCAAATTCTTCTATAAATCCTACACATTGAAGTACCATGCTCTTACCCCTTCCTTCTATAAAGACTGATCTATTTTGATCATTTCTTTCTTTCCAAACAATGCCATTCATTTCATTCTAAAAATCACCTCAAATTCCAGGTAAGTCACAGAAATGTACTCTGTTTTTTTCCTTCTATGTATCCTACCCATGAGAATACATTCTCAGTAATCTTGTTTCTACTAGTACTTTCTCCTTTACATTCCCCTCAAAAGAATAAGGAAACAAAAATGTATGTCTTTCAAATCTTAGACATCTAATCTACATTATGATTAATATTAATTTATAGAGTAGTGAAATTTCAAAGGCCAGATATTAAATGGGTAGCAGTAAATTCTTTCCTGAGATGTCTTTTCTTTAGTTCTTTCATTCATTCTTCTAAATGCTTTCACATGTCATTGTTCATCATCATTTAAAATAAACTTTTTCTTTGGTCATATAAAAGAAAAATCCATAACAAAAGATTCATATGTGATAGTGGAATAAATCTTTAGAAAAATGATAAGATGGTCTAAATAAACTGAGGTTTTCACAACCCATCAAGGTTAGGAAAATAGCTTTACTACTATGTAGAATTCAAGAAGTGAAAGATAATGAGTTCACTTTTTGATTGATCTTTGAAATCATATAAAAAGGAAAGTTGCTAAATTACTGGGAATAATTTAATAAGGACCCTGCTTTCAACACAAAGTATGTTTTATTATCTATACCATCTTAATCCTAATACTGATGATCAATAATTTTAAAAAAGTATTTTAAGGATCCTTGGCAGTACTTGACTAAGAAGCATTTCAAGTTTACAGCAAGCTAATTGCATCAGATACAATTTCATTTTTAACAGGGTCGAAATATTATTAGGTTCAATAGCAAGTGAATAATAAACCTGCATTCAGATGTTTTATAATTGTTTCATTACTTATATAATGACAACATGATAAGGGAGAGGATGGAAAGGCTTAGTGACCACATGTAAAACAGTAAAGATTATTAAAATGATGCCATCTTGAGTTGAAATTTCTAATGTCATGACTAATAGACTTTTTATAGCCTAATTTTGATCAATATTCATACTCATGATTTGAGTTATGCTATTAAAGAAATGTTTTATTTAGGAAATGGAAACACTTGGGAAAAAATCATATTAAGTAAAGTGAGCCAGACCCAAAGAAATATAGGTCCCATGGTTTCCCTCACTTACAGTAATTAGTATACCTTTAGGATAATTTTGTCAGATAAGCAGAAAAGCTCAAAAGCTATGTATATATGACCAAATAAGATGATGCTAAGTGAAATGAACCCCAATATATAGACACAAGAGATCTTTTTTGTTGCAGTTTTTAATGTACTATGTGATTTTTTTTTGTTTCCTTTGTATGTTCTTCCCCCTACGGTATACCCCTGTTGGCATCGTATTTGATTTTGGTACCCGGCATCTTGTATATACATTTGTCTAATTTGGGGAGGGGAAGGAGAATAAGAAAACAGGATGACCCATTTCAACGATGATACCTACAAGACAGTATACTGGAAATGAACTTTACAACTTAGGGGTGGAGGGAATGAGGAAGCTGGGAGAGGGGCAGGATAGTGGTTGAACAACAAGGGAGGTGATAACAATGCTCAACAAGAAATGTGCTCATTGCCTTACTCTGTACAGCATCTTTACAATAAAATATTTTTTTTAAAAAAAGAAACGCTTTGCCCATATCTCAGATGAGATGGAAAAGGAACACAATCCATTTTTACCAAAAACAAATCTAAATATTCCTTCAGATTAAAGCAAATTGGGCAAATTAAATAGATGACTTATTTAAAATATCACAGTTGAGGGAGAATTACTTGCGTGCATGGTATGATATTTTTAAATGACCGATAAAATTATTTTTTAATTTAAAGGTAAATTAGAAATCCATTGCAAGATATAACCCTAAATTGTGTTATCATTTCATCTAAAATAAGGAAATAAATTTCAGTGTATTCACTGAAAATACCATAAAAAACATATTCACCAAAAAACCATAGTTGGAGCACTGTCAAGTAGCACATTTTCAAATGCTTTACACAAAACATGAAAAGAAACCAGACTATATACTAAATCATTGTGATAGTAAGCCCTTATAAGTATGATCTAGAGAAGAAGAAAGGTAACAATGAGAGATTAAGTCTCCTTTTTCCTCCAATAACCATCTTCCTCATTCTGGTATATCATTCTCTTGTTCAAACAAGACAAAATTTAGAATTTTCTCCCTAATTTGTTTCCTGAAACTATATCTTACCTTGCATTAACAAAACTTTGAAACTGTAACTCCAAAATTTCAATTCTGTTCTTCTCCCCATTTCTAATGCTATTCCTTGAAAGTTTTAATCACTGATATTTCTCAAGCACTACTATCTCTTGTTAATATTTACAAGGTTCATTGGCTATTATAGGATAGATTTACATTGATCAACACATAAATTTGATCAGGTTTCTTCTTAGTTTTAAATGTTTTGATGTCTGGTAAATGTTCTAAGTCTTTACAATGAACTATAAATAGTCATGAAAATACAGTGACTGCCCATACAGTGAAACTCATCACATGATACTCTTAAGTTTGTTCACTATTTTCTTGCCATATTAGAATTACTCAGCCCCTTAAATAAGTCCTAAACCAGCTATTGCTCACTTGGGTCTTTGTGTATGCTATTCCTTCTCCTGTAGTTCTCTACTTTCTGTGTTTTGCTTTTCTATTACTTCATGCTTCAAGTCTTCACTGCAAATAACTCTTCAGACAAACCCACTCTTTCAACCTTATGTAAAATCATTTTCCTAGTTTTCTCTACTCATCACCCCATTTACTTTACCTGTAATGGTTATTCATTGTTGTGGATGGTCTCTGTCCTCAACAAACACCCAATAACTTTATTTCAGTGAATTGAGTGTGCCCATG